AGTCCCAACTAGGTGGGGCTCTAGCAAGGATGAAAAAAATGACAAAATTCCTAAAGGGCTGAGGACAGTGCCTGGCTGGTGGCAAGTGTTCAATAAATGAGATCACCATGGTGATCAGGACGCTGAGGATGCCCCTCTGGTTCCCTCACTTCCTCCTGGTCCAGGCAGCATCTCTCCAGCCATAGTCCTTGTGATGTAGCCGCCCAGAGTCTTCCATCACACAGGGGCATCCTAGGACGGACCCGTCCATCTCCCTGCCTGTATACACGGGACAGAACAGGAGGAGGTTCCTCAACGTCTTGAAATTGTTTTCAATTTGTAATTATTACGCAGACTTTCAGGAATGAAGGGAAATAAATATTTTCTAATATTCAAGGAACAAAAAAAGGATGAGTCTCCTCTTTCAGCTGCAACCTCGGGGATTTTGAGAGGGCACGATCTTTTGTGTAGGATGTCAGTGTGGAAAAAAGTCACCCACAGAATCGTTGAAAAGACATGCATTGGGCATGGTTCTTGGTCCTGGGAATGCAGAGAGGATCGAGTTTGGAAGTTCAGCTTGAAAATTAGACTTTGAATACACATATAGATTTATATATCTGTATTTAGAGTATATAATTAGATTATGTATTTAATACATGTATATTAGACAGAAAGAGAGAGAGAGAGAAGGGGAAAGACATTGGCAGAAGAGAGAATCTTTATTCTTCAAGTTACCATTCTTAACTACAAGAACAGTCACAAAGACCTTCCCAAGTGTTATAATATGGAAAAAAAGGGTGAAATGCATGCAGGGACAGCAAAACTATCTTCCCTACCCTATTCTGGGCCTTAAAGAAAAATGGGATTTTGCGTTTGAATTGTCATTTACAAGGAGGAGAGCCGAGCAGGTGATCTGAAGGAGTTTCTTTTCTGGAAGTGAAATTCACAAGAGAAACGAACTGTTTCTGAAAGCAGCAGAAATTCATCACTGCGTTTCAGATCTAGGCTGGAGGTAAAGGGGAAGCAGACGTCCTGGAAAGGGATCTGCAGCCGCTGAGAGTGGTTCCAGCAGGAGGATAGGGGCTCCGCAGCTGTGTTGCGAGGCCCACCCCCATCTTTGCTTCCAACTTGTCAGCTGCTTATTCCTGGTTAAATTCAAGGAAGCAGAGGGAAGCTATAAGTGTAGCAGTTGGACTGGAAAGAAAAAGACTCGTAAATGATGCTATCGGCAGGCTGTCTTGCCTTCTAACCAATGACGATAAATGAAGAAATTAACAAAGAAAAGTCAAAAGGCGACTGACCAGAGTTTATACACTGGTTAATCCCAGTGCCAGACACAGTTCGAAGCACTTTGAGTTGTCTCACTTAATCCTACCCCAGACCTTATAAAGGAGGTGTTGGTATTATCCTCATTTTATAACAAAGTTCAGAGAGGTTAAGTAACTTGCCTGAGATCACACAGCTGAGGCCAGGGGTAAACCAACACAGGAAACTCACACGTGGTGTTTCCTCTACCTTTTCCTCACCATTTGTGACCCTAAAGAATCCCTTCAAACACAAGAAAGCAGAACATCAAAATGATCAGAGAGTGGCAGATGCCTCCCAGTCCAGGAGGAAAGGGAAAAAAGTCATAAACCAGGGCTTTGTCCTTCTACTGGCTGCTGACATGATACCAAAACAGGGGCCCTTTCTGAGAGTCCGCACTGAGTTCCTGCACACCTCCTATCCAGGGGCAGGCAGGGCAGTGGAGGGAGCTCGGAGCCCACTGCCTGGTTTTGAATCCTGACTCTGCCCCACCAGCCGTGTGGTCTTGGCAAGTTATTCAGACTCCCGAACTTCGGTTCCTCATCTGGAAAGTGGGAGTCTCCCCTGGACCTGCTTCACGGGGTCACGTGAAAGGCTTAGAACAGTGCCTGGCATGGGTCAAAAGCTCAATCAACGTTTACTCTGGTTAGCACTTTAATTATTGACATACATGATTATTGGCTTATATTATTTCAGGCCTAACATTGTCATTGCCCAAACCCCCTGCTCACTAATGTCACGCCCTGTTGCATCCTTGATGGTGCTCTCAGCTTCCACGGACACTGCATTGCAACCACCATGACAGCTGCGGTGAACCCTGCACTTGTTAGCATTGCTCTAGATGCTCCCCGTGTATCACAGCACAATCCTCCCCATGCCCTGTGAGGTTGGAACCCCACTGCTGCCCCATTTTTCAGATGAGAAAACTGAGGCATGGAGACAGGAAGGAACTCTCCCTAGGTCATGGGGCTAGAACATGGGGCAGGGGATTAAGACCCAGATCCCACATAGTCACCACCACGGGTTAGAGCTGCCCCTGGTTTTGGCAAAGTGGTTTCAGACTCATCAGGGCAAAACTGGGAGGTTGGTTCTTTTCCCCTTCTTCTTAAGGCAGGACCAGGCTTGTGGGTGTATCCGCTCTGTCCCTGAAGGGAAGGTCTCCCCATCTAATCCGCCCCCCTCACCTGTGCAGGGGCAGCGGCCTCTGGAGAGGGTGGTACTGGCCTCTTTCTTAGCATCCCATCTCAGGACAGGCAATGAAAAAGGGTCCCACGGTGGAGGCGCAAAGCAGAAAGGAAACAGATGGGAAGGTGAGTAATTAAATCAATATACACCCAACAGCCAAGGGGGGGGTGGGGAGGAGGGGGCGGGGCAGAAGCAAAGCAATCCCATCCAAAACTGAAGTCTGAGCTCCTATCATGTGTGTTCATTTCCAAAAGGCCGTTTCTTAAAGCTGTTTGGAATATAAATGCAAAACAAAACAAAACACACACCCCCCATCCCTGCAACACACACACGCACGCATACACACAAGGATGCCCTTTTGTTTCATTTTTCTGGAATTCTGATTTTTCTTCCCATAGAATTCTCCTCCCACCCCCCGAAGCAGCTCCGTACAGAATTACAGGTTTAAGTACTTTGATGGGGCCGGTTCTGTCAGAGGTGAAGGGTCAATTTGTTTGTATTTTAGAGCAGACGTGTGCTAAGCCTTCCTATATTTTAAACAGATAATGTCCTTGTAATCTGGAAGCACTTACATCGAAGGCCGGCTTTGTCCCCTTTTTCAGCGTGTGTGTCGCTCTCGCCCGTCTCTGTTGAGATGAAAAAGAAATACTGTATCTTTAAATTAGGAGGCGCCGGATAATGAATCTTGGGCAGTGAAAAGGCTAATGCCATGTGGAGGAGAAGGAGTTTAATCTAATTTAGTTGGAGGGTGTCTGTCTGCGGTGTTGTTTTTGGAGTGTGGGAATAGAGGGGAAAGCTGTCCCCTTGAATGGTCGCTCCAGCGCCAGAAGCAGTGGGGAGCCGCGTAGACGCCAGTGATCCAAAGCCGGGCCTTGAAAGGGGGATTAGAGACATGCTCTGATTTGCAATTCACACTAATGCACCCCGTGGAACCTTTGGTAATATTTCAAACCACGTTTCAAGGGAAGTGGCCTTAAAATCGCTGTCTAAATTGTGCTGGGGAGACAGAGTGCCCTCCAGTCATCCGTTTTATGATGTGGACGCTTTGCTGTTTGTTTCTCATCGCCCCACCCCCATCTCAACCTCTTCCGACGAGTGTTTTTAGGTGGAATTGAAACTTCTGTGCCCGCTGAATCTGCTGCAGCTCGCCTGGCTTCTCGGGTGGCGCACGCTGTGTGTTTAGTAAAGCATCCCTTCAGATGACCAAAGGTATTTTCCTTGGAGAAAAATGTGGGGCGGTAGGGGTGGGGGGAAAGGGCACGCTTGCTTGGTTAGAAAGCAGAATTCTCCATGCCTGCTTTTTTTTTTTTTTTTTTTTAAAACTGATAATAAGTGTCTGCAGAAACGTAACCCAAGAGGAGGTCAGGGAAATGGCGCCTTTTGGTATCAGAGATCGCTCTGCATGTCGGGCAATTATGAGCATCTCGTTCTTACTTGAAAGGAGAATCGGAACCGCGCTGATGAAATACAAATATTGATGATAGTAGGAGATAAAAGAAGTAACACCACGCTCACTTCATGGGATCATCAAACATCAGTGTGCCAAGAGAGATGCTCCCAGCAACTGTTCCTGGAAAACACAGATAACCTGAACCACTTTCTACCTTCAACTTTATTAATACCCTTCTCCTTTCCTAAACTCTGCTGATATGCTACAAGTTCACTCTTGCAATTAGCTTGTAACGTGCTAAGTCTATGGTTCAATTTCTCTCTATTGCTGAAAGAGCTAGTACTTTTTATCTGAAAGAGATTACTGTGAGTTTTCTCAAATCTCATTTCAGAAAGATCTCACACAGTGCTTATAATTTCCACTGACTAGAACACCGTAAGAGGAGATACCACTTTGATTTTTAGCAATATCTGTGTCAAAGTGTTTTCTACTTCGGACCTCACTAGAACGAGATGAAACTCTGCCTCTTTCTCAATTCCCTTCCATCCCAAAATATTTAGTTTTCCATCAAAATATTGCCTGACTCCTGAAATCATATTCCCATTCAAAAACCTTATACTTTTCTGGGCAAACATTTGCAAGAACTTGAAGGTAGTTAATGTTTAAGAGTGTCTCTCCCATATATATATTTTTAGGCAGTTGGGGTGAAACATATATATATACAAATATATATATATATATATATATTCCTTGTCCCTGCATGTTATTTGAAATCACGTTTAATTATAAAGCTTCATTAAAAACCTTTGCTCAAAATTTTAGAGGCCTAATAAGATTTCCATTAATTTAAACATATCGCTATTCCCACGACAGCCCCAAATGCTTTCTTTTCCCTCTTTCATCCGTGGTTAAATATGTAAATAAAATGTCTAAAGTCATTCTTCAAAGAAGACAAAAGAAAAAAGAGCTGAGGGGAGAGACAGCCATAAAATTCCTCCCAATTCTCCATAACATTTGCCAGAGGGGGGCCAGTTGCCAGCCCGGGCTGAGCAGCAGGGAACCCGCTGCTTCTTAGAATCACACATCTCAAATCCCACACACAGGAAAATAAAATAAAATAAAATATCTTTTCAGCCGGAGCCATCAAAAGACCCTTTTCATTTATTAGTTACAGAGTTATCTTGCAGTTGGTGATTTCTCAGAGCCCTCATTTTTCTATCATAATGTCTATTTGTTGGTTTCCATCTCAGCTGGGCAGAGCGAAGCACTTCTGCAGACATTTTTTCTAAAAAAAACGAGAGAAGAAAGCAATCTGAAGTGGTTGTAGTGAAAATAATGGGTCTGAACATGGCCGAATAAAAACAGCACAGAAAAGATCAATTAGGAGGCACCTTCTCAAATAGCTAACACCCCACTCCCGGTGTTTGGCACTGCCCCTGACTCTCTCACATTTATATTTTCAGAGCTTCTGAGGGAAGGAAAGGAAAAGGAAAAGAAGGAAAATGATGTCCAAGGAAGGATCTTGGCAAGGAAAATTCTAGAAAAGCCAAGGGATGTCCACTGAATCTTTTTTAATGGAAAGGTTTGGAAAATAGCTCACTAGACTCAAAAAATATATACACACGCACAAAAAAACGCCCATCCCCAAACAAACAAACTATCATAAGAAAACTGGCAGCCTTGGAAAAAGCATCTCGGCAAACAATCCAGTTGAAGGCGGTTGTTCTGACTGCCTTAGCGTTCACCTTGACCACCTTTTTCTCCACTTTCTTCCTCATCCGAACCTCTTCCAACACCTCACACTGAGATCCAGGGACACTGATTCAGTGCCCGGTGCAACTCCCAGCCTCATTCGTCTCAGTGTTTGCTGGATGGATGGATGCATGGCTGGATGGATGGATGGAAAGAAGGAAGGAGGGAAGGAAGGAAGGAAGGAAGGAAGGTGGATATGTGAGTTCTCCCAAGTTCACTAGATGTACAATCCTACGACTTGTTTCAAGTAAAAGCCAACACTCTAAAAAGCCTTCTCAGAGGAAGTGCCCCACTTCTGCCCCCGCCGACAAGAAGCTTCCTAGCAGTCGTGTTTCCTTCTTCGGCGCTTCCTAGAAATAGCCGGGGACCCGCAGCGCCCGCCGCTCCTGCAAAGCCCCCCGGGGGGGGCGGGGGGGGCGGCAAGACCGGGGGCCCCCCGCACCGACTCTCAGGGATGTCTGGACACACGGTACACCCCTGCAGAGGGCTAACCCCAGAAAGGCAGGAGGACAAAGGAGGCCCCGGTCCGCAGGGCCCGCTCCTCTGACCTCTCCTCCCGCCCGGGAAAGTCCTCCAACTGCCCCCGCTATGCGTGATCCTGGGAGTTTCCGGAAAACTTTAAGAGATCTTGATCTCGAGAGCGGCTAAGAGGAGAGAGGCCCGGCCACCCCCTAGGGGTCCTGTTTACTGAAGGGTTAATACGGGCAGCCAGGTGACGCGACGGGCAAGTTCTCTGAAGGTGGGGCGTGGGCGTGCGTGGCCGAAGTGACTTCGTCCCCAATTGGCGCCCCCCATCCGAAGGGGGTGATCTAAGGGCACTGGGCCAGGGCGCTCCCTCCGCACCTTTTAAGAGAACTGAGAGGCACGGGCGCCTCCCCTTGCCCGGGGAGTTGGGGACCCTCGGAGCGAGCTGACTCAGCGCCCGCCCACCTCCCACCCTCAACGCCGCAGCATCCCGCGGGTCTGCGGCCCAGGAGGGAGCAGTCGGGCAAATCACTGGCCAAATAATATAAATACCCGACGAGCGAATGACTTCCTATAATAAATAAACCCAGCCGCCTAGAAGAAATCAGCAGCCCTGCCTGGCGCGAGGCCCCTCAACTCCGCGGCGCTGTCGGGGGCGCGGGTCCCTCTGCTACACGCCAAGCCCCCCACGGCCCGAGGCGGGGGGGGGGACCTAAAGAGCCCCAGGAAGCTGCCCGCCCCTCCCCTCCCCCTCCTCCTCCCCCTCCCCGCCTTCTCCGCGGAGACCGCGGAGGAGCGGTCCTAAAATCTGGATTCCCAGAGCCCTTCCCCCCCCCCCGGCCCTTAGCTCTACTCTTTGAAATTTCAAAGAGACCCCTCCCCGGAGCCGGAGACCCGACGCAGGCCTGGTAACTCCGCAGCCTCGGGAAGATGCGAGCAGGTTTACAAGCTAAGGGGCCACTTTATGGCCGAGGCCATAAAACGCAAATCCCACCTCGCTTTGAAAGCGCCCTCCGCCCGGGACCCACCATAAAAACCAGGGGCGACGCGCCCCCAGCCTCGGCCGCGGACCAGCCCGCCCCTCCTCCGGCCAGGCTCCGAACTCCCAGTCACCCCGGCGTCCTTGGGCTGCGGGGGACGAGGCCGGGGGCTCCCCGGGAAAGGGGGCGCAGGCGGGGAGGCGGCGGGAGGCCAAGTTGGAGGCCGGCGCAGAGGGCGAAGGAGCGGCGGGAGGGACGCTCGGGAGGGCGGCGGCGCAGGGCCGGGGGCCGGGGGGCGGCGGCGGGAGCGGGCGGCCCGGAGCTGCGCTTTCTCATGCAAAGCAGCGGCGGGGCGGGGCGGGGCGCGCGGCCCGGGGGCGGGGCCTGTCACCGCTCGGCTGTTTCCCCCTTTGCCTTTTCGCTCGTCGGCTCCGGCCGGGACCAGATCTCCGAAAGGCTGCGGGCCGGGCCGGGCAGAGGCCGGCGCGGGGAGGGCGGAGCCGCCGCCAGCCGCCGGCCCCCGTGCGCCCGCGCCGCCCGCCCTCTCCGCGCGCTCCCACGAGAGGCCAAAGTTGGCGGCGGCGGCGGCGGCCCGCGCGCCGAGAGCTCCGGGGGTCCTGTCGCTTCCCGGTATTGTTCGCAAACTTTGCTCGTCTCCTCCGCGGCCTCATCTCGGCGGAGGCGGCGCGCGGAGAGCGGGGCCGGGGGCGCTCCGTGCGCATCGCTCGGGCTGAGCTGGGCGGGCATGGGCGGGGGCCCGAGCGGGGACGAGGAGCCGGAGCCGGCAGCCCGACCCCCGGAGCGGCGGCTCTGAGGGCGGCCGACCTCCCCGCGGGGACACCTCCGACGCCACCATGCAGCGCCCGGGCCCCCGCCTGTGGCTGGTCCTTCAGGTGATGGGCTCGTGCGCCGCCATCAGCTCCATGGACATGGAGCGTCCGGGCGACGGCAGGTGCCAGCCCATCGAGATCCCGATGTGCAAGGACATTGGCTACAACATGACCCGCATGCCCAACCTGATGGGCCACGAGAACCAGCGCGAGGCCGCCATCCAGCTGCACGAGTTCGCGCCGCTGGTGGAGTACGGCTGCCACGGCCACCTCCGCTTCTTCCTGTGCTCCCTGTACGCGCCCATGTGCACCGAGCAAGTCTCCACCCCCATCCCCGCCTGCCGGGTCATGTGCGAGCAGGCCCGGCTCAAGTGCTCCCCGATCATGGAGCAGTTCAACTTCAAGTGGCCCGACTCGCTGGACTGCAGCAAACTCCCCAACAAGAACGACCCCAATTACCTGTGCATGGAGGCGCCCAACAACGGCTCGGACGAGCCCGCGCGGGGCTCGGGCATGTTCCCGCCGCTCTTCCGGCCGCAGCGGCCGCACAGCGCGCAGGAGAACCAGCTGAAGGACGGGGGACCCGGGCGCGCCGGCTGCGACAACCCGGGCAAGTTCCGCCACGTGGAGAAGAGCGCGTCGTGCGCGCCGCTCTGCACGCCGGGCGTGGACGTCTACTGGAGCCGCGACGACAAGCACTTCGCCGTGGTCTGGCTGGCCGTCTGGTCCGTGCTCTGCTTCTTCTCCAGCGCCTTCACCGTGCTCACCTTCCTCATCGACCCGGCGCGCTTCAGGTACCCCGAGCGCCCCATCATCTTCCTCTCCATGTGCTACTGCGTCTACTCGGTGGGCTACATCATCCGCCTCTTCGCGGGCGCCGAGAGCGTCGCCTGCGACCGGGACAGCGGGCAGCTGTACGTCATCCAGGAGGGGCTTGAGAGCACGGGCTGCACCCTGGTCTTCCTGGTCCTCTACTACTTTGGCATGGCCAGTTCCCTGTGGTGGGTGATTCTCACGCTCACCTGGTTTCTGGCTGCGGGCAAGAAGTGGGGCCACGAGGCCATCGAGGCCAACAGCAGCTACTTCCACCTGGCCGCCTGGGCCATCCCGGCCGTGAAGACCATCCTAATCCTGGTAATGCGCAGGGTCGCGGGGGACGAGCTGACCGGCGTCTGCTACGTGGGGAGCATGGACGTCAACGCCCTCACCGGCTTCGTCCTCATCCCGCTGGCCTGTTACCTCATCATCGGCACTTCCTTTATCCTCTCGGGCTTCGTGGCCCTTTTCCACATCCGGAGGGTGATGAAAACGGGTGGGGAGAACACGGACAAACTGGAAAAGCTCATGGTGAGGATAGGGGTCTTCTCCGTGCTCTACACGGTGCCGGCCACCTGTGTGATTGCCTGTTACTTTTACGAACGCCTCAACGTGGAGTATTGGAAAATCCTGGCCACGCAGCATAAGTGCAAAATGAACAACCAGACTAAAAACCTGGACTGTCTGATGGCCGCCTCCGTCCCCGCGGTGGAGATCTTCATGGTGAAGATTTTCATGCTCTTGGTGGTGGGCATCACCAGTGGCATGTGGGTCTGGACATCCAAGACTCTGCAGTCCTGGCAGAACGTTTGCAGCCGCAGGTTCAAGAAAAAGAGCCGAAGAAAACCGGCCAGCGTGATCACCAGCAGTGGAATTTACAAAAAAGCCCAGCATCCCCCCAAAACCCACCTCGGGAAATATGAAATCCCTGCCCAGCCTCCCACCTGCGTGTGAATGGAGGGAAGGCCGGCGCGGAAAACTTTCCCAGGGAGGATACAGTGGCAGAGTCAGAGCCAACACATGGTGCTTTTCTCCGTCGGTTGGTTGCTTGCTTGTTTTGTTCTGTTTTTTCTTTTTTTCTTTTTAAATAAAAGTAAAAGGAAAAAAATAAAAAGCTTTTACCCTGAAATTCAGGATGCTGTGATAACACTGAAAGTCAAAATGTACTTAAAGGGGTTTGTTTTGTTTTTGTTTTCAGTGAAGGAGAACCTTCCCAGTTAAGTAGCCTCTTGTGTAACTAATTTGTGGTAACATAGTTGATTCAGGCCCCCAGAAGAAAACTTTTGTTTAGAACCTTCCATAAATATACATCTGTGTGTTTGAGTTGGCTTTGCTATCCATTTACAAATCAGAGAAGAGATAACTTCTTTGCAAATTAAAGAGCCTCTGCTGAGTTTCAAAGAGGGAGAAAGAGAGAGAGTCACTGTCCGGCAGGGGAGCCCAGGGCCACCCTCAGGAAGGCTGCGTGTAGACAGCAACTTCTGTGCCAACAGGAAGAAAGAGAAAGCTTGACAACTCAGTACCCTCCAGTGGATTTGGAGTCACTTAAAAGAGACTCCAGCCTCCACAAATGGTCTTTCTCCGACATAGAAACTTCCACCAAACCTCATATTGGTCGATGCCAACGATGTGCAATACATTTTTTTTTCTCTTTACGTGAAAATCAAAAGAGAAACAAGTATTTTGCTGTACATAAAGACAACAAAAGAAATCTCCTAACAAAAGAACTAAGAGGCCCAGCCCTCAGAACCCCTTTAGTTTTACAGTTCGTGGCTTTTTAATGGAAACCAAGCCAATGTGACACACGTTTGGACTGATTCGCGGAAGGGTGGGTGGAGAGGGGGGAAGGATCCTTCAGAAGTGCCCAAAGGGCTCATTGACTCTTTCTATTGTTAAACAAATGGTCTCCATGAATAGACGCGGGAAGCCATCTACCAACCTTGGAGTTTATTCTCCTCACCAGGAAACGCCAGGAAAGAGTGGTCCTGCTGGTGTCTATCTGTAATATATGATATTTTTCATGCTTCACTATTTTATTAAAAATAAAAGATGTTCTTTAGTTTGGCGCTGCTCCCTTGTGCATTGTTAGGTGACCCTTCTCAGTGCGTGGAGAGAACAGAGAAAACTTTCTCCTTCTGTTTGCTTTTCAAGCAAATCCTGCGTGTGCATCTCTCTCTAGAGGTCATTGGTTATCTATGTGAAATGGCAAATGGACGGATTCCAAAGTGGGCACAGGATGATTTAATTTCAGGCTTCCTCCATGCAGGAAGCGGCTGTGGTTGGAAGCTGTCTCTTGAGTGGCAGGATGCAAGGGTCCGGTTTAGCACAGTTCATTAAGGAGCAGCTTGGGTACCAAGCGTGGATACACTCGTGCCCCTGCACTAGGGTCCGGAGAATGGAGCCAGCCAATTAGGAGAATTAAATCAGAGTAGGGCTCAGTTGACCTGCTGGGGTCAAATTGTACTGAGATAGAATGGTATACAGCCGTCCAAAGGATGCTGGCTTTACAGCAACTCCTGGACGCGTTTACAAAACAGACTGTAGATCTGGACAGGATAAACTATCTGCTAAGAGTGCTGAGTCATCTAGGAGAAGTTCATCTGCTTTGCACACCCTCGTACTCGCTTCTCCTCCCGTGTTTGCTGTCTGAGTTGTGTGCTGTAGACCTGAAGTGGGCCTGGGTTCCTCTTGTCAGAGGCACTGCTAAACTCAAGTTCTAACCCAAGGGCACCGTTCAGACCAACTGCCCTGGGGATCTGATAGCACAAGCCCAGCCATCTGTGGGTCATCCTGATGCCAAGGTCCAGGTTGAACAAAGAGCTCTTAAGCATTTTGAGCATTGATTAAACACTTATTAAGGATGGACAGAAGCCTGAAGGACAGGGCAGCCTGTTTCCTGCAGATGGTGTTTAGGAATTAAGCCTGAGGACCCAGGCCACCCTTGCATCAATGACACTAGAATTGAACAATGGTATCAATCTTTTTTTTTTTTTTTTAGGGGGGCTCGGAGGGGGGTTTGCTGTAGCATATACAGGAGCAGGGAACTTGGATGATTTGAGAAACAGCAACTAGGTAGGTCAGGTAATTTAAGGTTAAATCCAGAATAGCCTTCAGTGCATTAAAAAAGAAAAAACGTTTAAAACAAAAATGCCCACAAATAGAAACCTATTTGTCGATTGTTCCCATCTAGCCCCCGAAAAGACTAAAGATATTTACGTACGTGTGTATGTATGTCACGTACCCTTTCTGTAACTCCTAGGAAAAATAAAAAGGACATTTGGGGAGCTCGGAGAAGTCGAGGAAGGTAACTGTCAGAGCACTGTGGTGAGAGTCCAAGCTGGGTACGAGCTTAAAATACTCAGTTCTGAAATCATTAGACTAATTGGCGGTTTCGGGTCTGCCCGTGTTCAGGTACGTAGGCTTTTGACGGTGGGTCCAAGGGAAATCAAGGCATCCATGAGAGCCTTTGCTGTTGTTTAGAACAGCGGTCCCCAACCTTTTTGGCACCAGGGACCGGTTTTGTGGAAGACAATTTTCCACGCACGGGGTAGGGGGCGGGGGCACGCTTCAGGCGG